CATGTGAAATATTTTAAGAAAAATGACAATCTTCTAAAGTTATACCTCAACTCAACCGTTTATTTTCCAATTGTGCAGGATCGAAAAATCGTTCAAAGATTTATAATGATTTAATGATTTCGTTAAGGGTCAGAATGTTGATGATTAGAATAAGGGGGGGGGGGGCGTGAAAAAGCTAGCAAATCCCCCCAAAACATGTTCATGTTCTAGAATTCATGTTGGAAGAATGAAAAAGAATTTCTAAAACATAAAAATGTACACTGTACATATCACTTTGGCGTTTTGTTATGTTAACCAGATACAGTACTAAGGGATAGATATATATTCCAGAAATTGCTTATTTTTTCGACGTAAAAGTCGGAGGATCTTTTTGATTATATTAGCTACAGAGTGTTTCATAGAACTTTATTTTCTGGAAATTTATCGACATTGTAAACCTAACTTTATATCTTTCCTTTCACTCACAGAAGCATGTACAGCTTAACGATCTTTACAAATAAATTTTATTCGTAACTCCTTAGGACTTCTCTATAAAGGGAATGAAAAAATCGAAGATTGTAATTGGCTTACCGCTATACGCAGCGCCCCATCCGGTCACCGTACAAATCATTCCATCATAACTCTCATTGGCTGATGGTAGACAGACGGGTCTAACGTACTCTGTAAAAGAGGGAACGCGGTTCCCGAGTTTTAACATTGCGATGTCGTTAAAGTACTGACTGGGACTATAGTGTGAGTGGACGAAGAGTGTATCCACCTTCTCTAGGATTTCGTGACCTTCTAACACAGCCCGGTCATTTTCTCCCACCACCACTGTCCAAGCTCTGGGGTTCTTGTTCCTGTTGTGAGTAAAAGAAAAGAAAGATACTGTTAATACAGCGTATTATTTGTGACAACTCTTATTCAGGATTCCTCCGTTTGGAATCCGCCCTCAACTTTTAGTTTCTGCTACTGGGGAAATCTAACATTCTAGAATATTACACAATAAAATAATTGGATTGTATATAAAGAAATTGCGATTAAAAAATGCGATACTTCTCGGTTTACAGTATGTAAAGTTAAATTCATTTTCTACTACGTATATTGTCATTATAGTTCTTTCTTTCCAGTAATAATCTCACTTATTTGACCCCATGCATGAAAATAATTTTCACCTTAGAATGGAATTTCTATAGTATAGAAATTCCATTCTAAGATGAAAATTATTTATTATATAGTTTAATTCAAGTTTTTTTTTTAACTAAATGTTTAATATAAAGGGGAAAATGTATTAACAATGGATTCATTATAAAAGTTAACGTGGATCAATTTTGTGTTAGCCAATTCCATTATTCTTGGGTGTGTGCAATACAATGAAGATTCCCTATGAGGAAAATAAAAGAAAAAAATGGCGTTCATGATAAGCATTGTTGATAGGATAAATGGAATTAGTGTAAATTAAGTAAGCTCTATGGTCCCAAACATCGTGTAAATTTGTAGAATAATTTTCAATCTAAAATGTACAAATGTAGTTGCACCAATACATGCAACTTACTCATTAAAGCAGTGGGCGGCCGTGAGAACCCATTGGTCAGCTATGAGTATTCCACCACATACGTGATGCCCATTAGATCTCATTGAAACCTTGAATGATAGAAAGATTTTTTTAATTTTCAAAGAATTCCTAGTACACTCAACAATATATTCTGTATGCATATGTATACAATTATGTACCTGGAAAACATGACTTTAGAAAGTTATGACTGTAACGTGTTCATCATGTGTAATTTACAAATTAACATAAGTATGTTCAAAATTATTCTTCTAAACAAGTTTAATATGTAAATTTTAAAAAAACACGTCCATATTTCAACGCATATTTGTAATAGAAAAATCAATACATCTGATTTTAGTCAACAAATCCTAAACATTTATTTTTTTCACAAGTTTCAGTGTTGAAATGTTTTGTGTCAAAATGTACCTGCCATGGGAATTCGCCAGGTTTAGCCCTTGTGCCTCCAACTATTTTATATTGATGTGTCGTTATAGGTGTGCTTAATCCACACTGACCTCAAGAAATATCATAAAAGAATAATATCAACCCTGGACAAAATGATGTGTTTGTACATGTATCTCTCTTTGTTGAAGCCACAAAATCAAAGGACTATTTCACAAGCATAAGAAAGTTCATTTTATTATAGTTTAATTATATTGGTGATGCCCAAGTAAATAATGCATTGAATTTTCTTAGGATTTTTACGGTAGTGAGTTGTAAAAATAAAAACAATATCCAACGCCACTTAATTAAGATTGACATGAACATTATGTTTTGATCAATACAATTATTGTTTATTACATTGTACCATTAACAAATAATTGTCTTGAAAACAATTCTTGAAAAAATCACTATATGTACTACAAATATGACAAAAAATTTATCGTAATATTCATACATACCGGGGTGAATGGGGGGAGTTAATTGGAACTTTGGAGGAATACAGCACATTTCCTGGAAGCCACATCCACTCCTGGTATACGAGTACCCAGACAGGCAGTTATTGAAGTAATAATTAACACACGTTCCTCCATAATTTGTGTGGCACACTGAAAATTATAGACAGTATCTACTTAATTCCACATGAATACAAAATGTACAGAATGCAACATTTTTATCGTAACAGAATATAATAAAAATTTGGACTAAAAAGTAAACACCTGTACAATTAATTAATAAATCACAGTTAGCCAGTATTTTGCAGAACTCCTCAACTCTTTCGAACTGATGTTTTGCTGCCTAAAGTGTAGTTAAATTGTGTGTTTCGCTATGAATAGTTTTGTAACAAAATATGTGCAAACCTATATATAATTTCCTAAATAAATTCTACTTTGTTTCTTATCAATTTATGTGAAATGTTTATTTTAGATTAAGAAAAATATTATTTGTTTTGCCAAAACCTAACAAAAAATGGAAAATTATTACGTACAATCTTGTAATGCCACTCCTCCAATCAACGAAAGCAAAGTGAAAAACCTCGATGGACTCCCAGACATGGCTGCCGAGTGTGAAAAGCAGGACAATGATAAGAATCTGGCGCATGCAGAAGAAACCTAATCTCAATCTACTTTGAAGTCCTCGAGGTGTGTTTAGGTACAAAAATGATAAAGCGGACATTATTACCATATACATGGTTATACATGTACATGAACTCTGTGAATGTTTTTATCTGTTTTTAGTTGTTTTATTTGGTAATATTTTTAAAGAAAGCCCTAGATATTGGGGTTTTGAGTGTTTTGGTCGCTCTACTTATGGACAATTTCTTAAGAGGAAAGCTTTTGACAATAAAGCTTATGGCACAAATATATCAACAGTCCCATTCAAAGTCAACATTTCGTAAATTCTGTGATCTATACAATGACCTTTGTAGCAAATACAGTCAATCGTTAAGACAAATATTGTCTGACGTTTTTCATACAAAATGTTAGTCCATTATTTTCACACTGCATTACAAGGAGCACACGGCGGATGTAACTGGTCGACAGGAGATGCTTACTTTTCCTTGGCACCTGATCCCACCTCTGATTTTTTTTTTTTACAGGCCCTTGTTTGCTCTGCTCCCAATTTGCGAAGGTTAGATGCGTTTGTTTATTATAGTATTTTCTCCGTGTCCAGGATATTTCGAATAGTTGCGATGTATTGCCCTTCACATGTTTAAATAACTAAAACATTTATTTTTAAAATGAATCTCCTCAGTCAAAATAATAAAAAACATGCAAATATTTTGACCGAAAAGCAGTTACTTAGTTGAAACTGAACTTTAGAAAATGGAAGGCGAGTTTGTTACACTTTAATTTTTTCTTTTGTGAAATAAAATAATTATGAAGGTTGTCTGGTGTAAGGAACGTATTTATCTACTATACCATGAACTGAAGAGACTGTCATTATTTGATACAGTTAACGCTCAAGACGCATCCTTTACTCTTACATCTTTGATCATTGTGTGTGTGTGTGTGGGGGGGGGGGGGGGGGGGTGAGGGTGCGTTAGTGTGTTTACCTTTGTTTTCTTTATAAAGCAAAACAAATAAATAAATGAATAAAACATTAAAAAAAATCGAATAAAATGTAGAGCTTCTAAATTCTAATAACTTTCTAATTTTGTATTCCCTTTTCTGCATAGTGCAGAACTTGCCGTTCAACTCGATAAAGGATCTATGAATCAATTGTTTGAACACATGAGCATTCATGATCAGGGAAGAGAGTATAGTATAAAGGTTAAAGTAAACCTGTATACTTTATAGAGTAAGCTTAACACACGACTCGTAAATAGGCATATTCCATATAAGTTTTATTATCTCTAATATTAACACAACGGGTACATGCGTGGAATGGACGTGTTCCTGCTGGTTACTTATATTATTTTTGTTTATATTTTATTGCAGTTTGCGTGTATTTGTGTTTGTTTTTATACTGCACTGATCTGTGCAACTGTTTTTCTCTTCTGTTTTGGAGGAAGCACACCATTACTTTGTCGCTACGGAGAGTTTACAATAGCTATGTAGAATACGCTCGTCTAAACAGGTAACAACTGATTACACTGAACAGTGTCTGTTTGAACGGCTCATGGAGCCCTCAGATATAAGGACTGAATAAAAGAATTCCTTTTACGAATCGTGCTCAGCTTTAAAATCCGAGGTCCTGTGTCACGGTAGGCGTTGACACGATAAAGCTCCCCCACTGCTCAATAACTCCGAGTGCCAAATTTGAAGCTCTTCACCGGTATCTGGTAACGTTTCTATATGAGTTTAAAAAATTGTCGAATGTAAAACATCATACACTCAACCAATCAATCAATCAACAAGGATAAAGGTCAATGACTCAATGCAACATGTTCAGCCAAAAAAAAAAAAAGACAAACTTATAATGAACAATAGGATCGAAATGAGACTTTTCAAGGCATGTGCGATGGGTTATGGAAATTGACCTTTCCAAATACATCTTGTTTTTTCAAAACAACAAACATACGTAATGGTTTTTTTCTTTATACCACTTCATCAAAAGATAAGAGTTTTAAGAGTTTATATTTAAGCAATCATGGGTGAGCTGCTTTTTGTTGGTTAATCCAGGTTAGGAAGGAACTGACACGTGTGTACACTCCAGGGGCATTCCTATCCCCACAGCCGTACCCCCAGGACACGATTCCTGCCACCTTCCACACACCATCCTTCTTACAGACTAAAGGTCCGCCACTGTCTCCCTGAAAAGATTTTTTATTACGACAAGAAACTTATTTGCATGTACGTTCATTATATAATACCTTTAAGAAATTACGCTACGTTGTTGAATTTTATTTTCTTATTTTCTGTATAATTTCAATTTTCCAATAATTGAAGGACTTCAGTTTGTGATATTTTATGATGCCTGGTAATGCTGTACACCTACTCTGAATCAAATTTTGAGATACCATATACAAGCTAAATCTACATTTTTGTTCATCTTTTTAGAAAAAAAAAAGCACAAGGGTTTTCAGAATTTGATATCTGTTCAAAACTCCCGGTAATTCTATCTTAGAACATTATGGCACTATGATTTTAAATGAAGAATATCTTGGAAAATTATTTGTGGAAAAGGTTCAATGTGAAATACATATACATGCACGTTTTGTATGACCTTAAATAAATTCTGTCCAGAGTAATTCATAACATGTATAATCAAAGGATTAAAATCAGAAACAAAAATAGAATTAAGAGGAATAATGACATTTAAATCACTTAAAACTCTATTTTGACTTTTACAACAAAATGTGTAACAAAATGCAAATAAGAAACAAAACGAAATCATATACATTCATGTGATATATGTTCTAATATTTTTCTTCTGAAAACGCACAATGAATGAAAATTTATCTTACATTTATATTTTTTTTTAACTTTGAACAAATTACAGATGCATGCAATATTGTCCTTTAGTACGTTTCAGAAGTTTTGCTATTGCAGTAGTTCTGCACTGAAATCTTGCAAGGCAAAATGATGAATGAAAAAAAAAATAGATAAAGAATTGAGTTAGATAGCAGTAAACCCTTAGACAGATATTAAATGTGCAAAATACAAAAAAAAAAAAGCCTACAAGGTGTTACATTATCATAAAAAAAGTTTTGAAGTGAAATATGTGGAGAGCTCAAATGTCCATTAACCATTACAAAATAGGAGCAGAGCAAACAAGGACCTCTTAGACATCAGAGGTGGGATCAGGTGCCATGGAGGAGTGAGCATCCCCTGCCCACCGGTCACACCAGCTGTGTACTCCTTGTCACGACCGGGAAACAACGGAAAAATCTGTCGACAATTCAGTGTATAAATTATGGCCTAACAATTAGTATGAAAAAAGTCAGTCTGCATCTGACCTAACAATACATGTAGTAAGGAGAATAAAAAGAAAAAAAATCTTGAACATCCTATGCATGAAAGAGACAGAATAATAATGAAAACACCCAAAACACTGATTTTTTGCGCAAACCACGTGATTCTACGAACCTGACAAGCATCTTTCCCGCCTGCCCTCAGACCTGCGCAGATATTACTGGTGTGAACGTGATTTCTACCCAAGAAGTACTGACACTGGGAGTTTGTCATCGTCGGTACATCAACCTTTCTTAAGTACTGGGCGCCAGGAGCATTACCATTGTTATCTGAAAATTAAGATTCACCTGATTTTAAGGATGTCATTTTAGTATTGTCATTATAAAATTATATTTATGTAAATAGAAAATATTTTTATGCATGTGATGCATTGAGGATTATAAGCAATTGGAATACAATTAGATTTCTGTAGAGGAAGAGTCCTGCAAAATTTAAATCAAAATAAACGCATTGAAAACTACTTAAAAGCTTCAAATGAACGTTTGCAATTAAAACAAACTGCATAATTTGTACAAATACAACGTTGACTGAGTGGTTTGATGCCTGATTATGTGCTTCTGAAACTGTGTAACATAAACTTCTTTTATGTATCCTGTCATTACAAGATTTTTTTCATACTTTTGTCATAAACAGGTCTATGCCAAGCAAGACTGTATGAGTTTACGTACTTATACTGAAATATAATATATACATGACAGCTTTAATTTTAGACATCCTGGCGTAAATGAGCACAGATATGTCAGAGTTTATTTTAACAGCAATGCTGATGGACTCCTGACCACTTCTATTCCCCATTTTATCCGACATGCGCCTTTGCCACCCCGACGTATCACGTGCAGACAGGGTTGGCCTGGAAATACCAATGGTGGGAATTACCAGTGGTAAATACCGGTATTTCCCTTCCCGGGAAATACTACTAATTTTCCCTAAACTGGGAAATACTGGGAAATACAAATTTAAAGTCTTTTTATTTCTTTAATTCATTCAATCTTATACAAAATTCAAAAATAAACATAAAAGCAGAAGATGAATAATATGGAATATGTCTCAAATTGCAATTTAACATATTCAGAATGTATCACTACTCCTGAGTCCAGGTCCCATACCAATAAGCATTCTGAAACATTTCCCTGGCTGTATAAAACTGAAGTTTTCCAATTCAAGTTTCTTTTCAGTTTTGTAAAATTATTAAGTTAATTAATTATAAATCCAAAACCCCCCAAAAATTGTGTTAATCCTTCTATAAACACTGTAGTTATTACCAATAATCATGTTGTCTTAACAAATTGCTTTGGACAGTTTTGTGCTCCTGTTTTGAGATATAATTACCTTGAGTAGAACTGAAAGGCTTCTTCTTAGGTTTGATATCTATACCATACTCTACATTAAAATTTTAAGAATTTTCTTAGATCCTTCTTTAGTTACATAAAAAACCCAATTGAGATCTTTGGGTTCATTTCACATCTGACTCAAGTATGAAACAAATGACACTCATGGCTGGTATGAGTATGCTGTGTTATGATTATATAAAATGAATTACTTGGCAACCAGAAATCTTTAAATCAGGGACAGTGATACTGTACAGCAGGAAATTAACTCGCGGAGTTAATATTCGCTATATTCGCGGAAATAAAAATTCCGCGAATTCAACATACATATTTATATACATATGAATAATTCCTCAAAAATTGATAAGGATAAATTGAAATATTACCGATATCTTTGATTAGATTCGTTAACTCTATTTGTTTTTCCTTGCAAACATAAAAGCAGTAATTAATATAGCGGAGATGTAGACTGTCTTCCTAATTATGCGGTTGTACGGATCAATTACTAAGACGTAGTTTTTTTTTTTTTTTTTTTTTTTTTTTTTTTTTTTTTTTTTTTTTTTTTTTGTTTTGTTTTGTTTTGTTTTGTTTTGTTTTTTTTTTTGTTTTTTTTTTTGTTTTGTTTTTGTTTTTTTTTTAATTTAATTGATAAATAAACATCTATAATTAACATTTAATTCTGCCACCCAGTAGAGGTGCGATGTAATTATAAAACATGTATTGTTAGATTTCTCCCGTGCGTATCACTCAGTCCTATTATCTTTAACCAAGGCACTTACGTAGTAAAGACAACACAACACATTAATTCAATTTTATTAACAGTTCAACATTTTGACTACCGGTACTGACAAATTATTTAGATTCAGGGAGATTTCAATATACTGCAGTAAATACTACTCTGTACTCTTCTCAAAACATACATATGAACGAACATCTGCCAAAGGGCTTTTTTTTTTTTTTTTACATGATCAGAATGTTTTGGATACGACTTGAAATCACTTGAAAAAATCACTCGAGTATAGACTTATATGTATTTAAAAAATATTTAATAAAAAGAAAGAAAGAAAGAAAACGAGAAAGAAAGAAAAATTATCTGAATGCGTAACATTGTAAATCGTACAACAGTTTGTCTTCTAATCGGGATCAGTACGGTGTTTTGTTCGATTTAATTGGGTTCAGAATCGACACAATACGCAAGGAAAATATTTGCAGTGCTGAAAAAGTTTTTTTTTTGTATAATTTTTCCTTTCCGCGAATTCAAACGACCGCGATTTGCTGCAAGTTGAACAAATCGCGGTCTTTTCCGACCGCGATTTTAACCTGCTGTACAGTACCAGGAAGATATCTTGGCCAATAAGGTGTACTACATGTTAATATGAATGAAATATGTAGCTATTTCTTATTTCCCAGTATTTCCCGGGAAATACCAGTAATTCCCGGTAATTACCAGTATTTCCCACTGTCCTGGGAAATATGAGTATTTCCCAGTTTTTTGCCAACCCTGCGTGCAGAAAATGTTCTACATTTTTTTTTTTACCTGCATGACAAGCGTTCTTTCCACCCTGAGGCAAACCTGTTAATTTACTGCTCTAACAACATTGCTGAGTATATAGGAGTTGGAGTTGTTCATTGTTGAAACGTCAACCGTATGTAGATATCTGATTCCAGGAACTCTAAGGAGCAAGATGAGTTAAAGCCAAGACATGTAAGCATGGAAAAAAAGAAACTTCCTGAAGACAGACTTTTTTCTTTTGTTTCTCCTCTTTCAGCGGCAATAGATTGATAAATTAAATGGTTTCATTACTAGTGAACAAGTCGTTTTTAACTTAATTGACTGTAGACAGTGTTTCATAAATTACATTGTACAAAGGATTTATCAATCTCTGTAAATCTTTCCTGAAGTGTTTGCAAGCAAGAATTGAAAAGCAAAGCCGGGAAAAAGATATTGCCAATAAATGAAGACATTTATAGATTAATCCATAGATTCTGTATCTAGAGAGAGACAAAAACAAAAACAAAACAAACAAAGACAAAAAGCAAATACAATCATAAGCATTGCGTAGTATTCCTTCCTTTATTTCAATAAAATTATGAGTCATTAATTACTCGTGTCTTATTTTAAATTTAAATGTGCATGTAAAAGTAAATAACATACTTACCAAAATAAGTGGCTCCCCAGCCAGTTACTGTACATGTCATTTGTTCGAAATGGTCGTACGAGTTCGGCAGACAGGCAGCACGAACATATTGAGTGTTGATGTTTATAGGCTTGTCAAGTTTCATCAGGGCAATATCGTTGAGGTTTGTACGAGAATTATAGCCAGAGTGGACAATTAAGTTACGGACATGATGGACTTGACTTGTGTACACATGGTGGCGATCGTGCATGCCAACACCGACGGTCCAATAACGAGCGTTGTGGTAGCTACGGACAAATGAAAAATGCAAACTGGTGTTGGCAACATTTACATTCTCTACTCGAAAACTCATTGCTGGGGTGTTATCATAGCTTACCTGCGCCGAAGGCACAAGTAAGCTTTCTTCATCAAGATGTGTCCGGCGTCTGTCTGTCGTGTGTCGTCTATAAATGTTTTCCTTACGACCCTCTCTACACCAGTGCAAAATGTGGTTTGGACATTGAGAAAATTATTTGAATAAAGGTGTAAATATTGAGCTTACCTATTTAATTTTCAATATATGGTACGTGGCATTTACCCCAGGAAAATTTTTCAAACAAAACACAGTATTAGTGCACAGAAATCGATGTTGTTTACTTCGATTGAGAAATTACAAGTTAATAACATCTTCAATTAATTTATCTTGGCCCTTTAAAATGTATGAATAACTTGACAATTGCTTACTTGAATTGATTACAAACTGAGTAATATACTGTAAATGCCTATTTATTGGAATTAAGATCTAAGGGCAGATCACTCTAACTGTAGAAAAATACCATAGAATCAAAACTCTTTAGTGTGCAGTGTAGAGAGAGTTCTTAAGATGGGCCAATTTCAAAATCTCTTGCCACAAAGCATCCTTTGGTAAAGGGGGTTAAAGTTTGTTCACAGTTAGAGCCACGGCCTCTTTCAAGAGGAGATTATTAAGAATTGAAAATTCAGTGACATCTTTTAAAAATCTTCTTAAGAACCACTGGGCCAGGAAGAATGAAACTTGTGTGAAAGCTTCAATACTTACTGTAAATTCAAATTTGTTTAAATCATGGTCCCTCGGAGAAGAGTGGGGCCACAACAGGGAATCAAATTAATACATACAGAAGGAATATATAGGAAATATCTTTAAAAAATATCTTCTCAAGAAGAGCAAAGCCATAATGAGTCATATTCAGATTGAATCATTCTCAGGTAATGTAGATTCACGTTTGTTAAAATTTTTCTGACCCCCGGGGTAGGTCAGGGTCACAATAAGGGATCAAAGGTATTAAGGAAAAACTTTAAAACATCTTCTTTTCAAGAACAGCAAAGCCATAACTAGTCATATTAATAAAGAAGCATCTTTAGGTTGTATAGATTCAAGATAGTTCAAATTATGGCCCCTTGTGGTAGGGTAGGGCCACAACAGGGGATTAAAGTTATAACTATAAACATATAGAAAAAAAATCTTTAAAAATTATTTTTTCAAAAACAGCAAAGCCATGATAAGTCGTATTGATATGAAAGCATCCGCAGGTAGTGTTAATCGACTTTGTTCAAATCAAGACCCTTGGGTGTAGGTTAGGGCAGAAATGGGGGATCAAAAGTTTAATTTTGTCCCATAAACAGTAAATTCATATAATTAGTCATACATGCAGGTAGTTTAAGTGAAGTTTATTCATGTCATGACCCCAGGGAGAAGGGTTGGGCCACAATGGGCAATCAAAGTTTTACAGGGATACATAGGAAAAATCTTTTTAAATCTTCTCCTCAAGAACAACAAAACTATGATTAGTCATATTTATATGGAAGCATCCTCAGGTAGTCATGACCCCATGGGGTTGGGTGGGGTTTGTGATCAAAGTTTTACACTAGAATGTGTAGGAAAATGAATCTGCTAATTGAGATCAGTAGGACGATATTTCCTCAGATGAGCGGTTTAGCCCATGTTTTTATATTATATCCAATAACTAAAATTTTAAGTCAGTTCAATTGATTCTCAATTTCATGTATATACATGTGTAAGATAACCTGTATTTATCTTACAAATAAAATACTTTCAACAAACTGTATACTCACTCTTCGAAGCAGTGAGCAGCAGTAGCGACCCACTGGGTGTCAATAAGTGTACCACCACACACGTGACTACCGCCGTACATCAGGGACACCTGTAGAATAGAAAGTTTATCAATCATGTTAGTTCAATAGAAATACGTCAAAAAAATTGTAAATATTATTTTGAAAACGTAAATGTAACAATTCTAAGATATAATTGACGGACCTGCCATGGATATTCGCCTTGTGACGCTGTAGTACCGCCCACAATTTTGGTATGGGTGGAGCCTACCGATGAGGTTCCGCAATGCGCTGTTGATCATATTTTTGAAACAGACATAAATAAAATATATTAAATGCATGAATATTCATATCACTGAAGCATCATCTGAAAACCCATGTGAGTAATTAACAGTAAGTTGAGTGCATGTATTATGATAGGCGATCCCTGAATGTTTATTCCTTTCTCTTAGAATTGAATATTATTTCACCAAATTCAAATTACATGTGGAAATTTAAAAATAAGACTCAATATGGTTCAATGTTAATGAAAAGTACAATTTAATCTATAGCGGGCCTATCTAACAAGTTATATTCAAAGTGATATGATTTGAAAGCATTTTAATCATCAATGTGCAAACAAGATATTTCATTTTTGTAGAATGGTTTTCAGTACAAAATTGCTCATTTAATTACTTCAATGATTCTTTAAAACATAGATTATTTTCTTTGCTATGATGTTTGTATCAAAAGATTTAGAACTGTGTTAGTTGTTTTAAATTCAATATTGATACTTTTTATTGATAAACAATTGGAAAAGAAAGCAAAAGCATATAATATGCACGATTCGAAAATAATTTATTTAACAGATATTCACAAATTTATTTGCATCAATAGAATATATTTTCTTCTTTGATTCTCAGAAAATAATCATTGCTGTTGATCAAACAATAAACACAATCAACTTCTAAACTAGTCAGATAAGGGTTTGTTAAGCCATCTCTATACATACATATATGAAATATTTCTTAAGAGGATGAAAGGTTGCAATAACTGGGCCATTCGTTCTCGTATAAACAAAGAAAGCCTTTTACAAACCTTATGATTACACCAATGTTCAACATAAGACTTCAATGATTCTTTGGCAACCACGCCATCCATTCAGAATATTTACTTAAAGCTGAACACTACTCGTAAAAGGCATTGTCCGCCATATTTCTCGTTCATCGCCGCTAACCCGTAAGCCACAGACCTCTTAAGACAACAGTTCAAGGTATTTCGCTGTAGAGGTCTGACGAGTATAGACGTACATCTTACATTGCCGTGTTACTCGGTCGCGATGAAATTATCAAAGAAGATGGGCGTATTTGGCGTGCGATCTGCAGGAATCATGTGTACGAAACATTTATAGTTTAAATGTCCACGATTTGGTCGGCTAAACACAGCTGGACAGGCTTTACAAAGTTACGCACATAGGAAAATGTTACATTTAGTTTGAAATAACATGTCAAATTTTAACATTTAGGTCCGCTTATCTTAAAAATCAAACTATAACATAATGATGCTTCACATCAATCACAAACACCTACAAGATAATAAGGGTATAGTTAAATGCAATAACAAGTACATGTGTATATCAAAGTATCAGTAGGTTGGAAGAATTGGTTTTGCTCTCGATGCAACAAAACCAGAATTTATCCATTTTAAAATAAATCAGTACAAAAAAAATTAACTGAAAAAAGAATTGATTGTTTGCCTTAAAACAAATATTAACGCTCCATGCGAGGATCGAACCAAAAAATTTCAACTCCATTGCACTGGGCGGGTAACGCATACTACCGAGCTATCATCGCTACACACATAAGTTGGTTTTTAAAACGACAAAGAAGCACAGCATTTACACATTGGAATTTTTTTTTTTTTTTTTTTTTTTTTTAAAGTTCATTTTTTATGGTCTCTGGGTCTTCTCTCCATTTTTTTTTTTTTTTTTTTTTTTTTTTTCAAATGATTGTTTGTTTCTTTGAATTAGAATGCTTGCAAATAACGTTTGAAAATCATGCAGAGATGACCCAGAGACAGCAAATTTTTAGAAAAACTTGTTTAAAAATGTGATATTTTGTCCCAATTGAATCACCTAGCCTATTTTCAAGTTATTTTTTAGCAAATCAAAACACAATATCGGGAAAATATTTCCCTTTCCTATTTCACAGGAACCCGATACATCAAAAGAATGCTAAAACTTCATGCGACAGAACAACGAAATTTTCACTTTTCAAGTGCGCCCAGATTCCTGCCGAATGCCAATCAAAAGCGCCCTCGTTCTTTACGCACTTTTTCCGAGCCAGTAGAAAAGTAGCATCAAATATACAATACATCATTAATATTTACAAACAGAAAATGCTCATAAAAACAAGGAATAAACGCACTAAATCTAAGACCACGATAGGAATACTACACGTCGGCCACAATTTTCGTTGTGCCTATTTATGAGTAGTGTAACTGTTCGACTTTAATATTAACTCAAACATGCCCTAACCTGCCCGAAAAAATGTTGTAGGAAAAATATACCTTTAAGCTCTTACCTACATTATTCGTGGAAACACTTCCGCTTCCGGAATGTGGGGGTGGTGTGGTATGTGTTTGCATTGCATTAGGAGGAATACAACACTTCTGTAGAAATCCACAGAAGCTATAAGTATAGCTGTCTCCAACGTGACAATAGTCATACAAACTTACACAACGACCATGCAGTGTTGTTGAACATGCTTAAACAAATACAAATTAAATGAAGTTTTAAAAATTGGAATTTTAAAAATTCAGTCATACTTCGATTGTTCCTTGGGTACATGATTATGTTATGTAGGAAAAATATAAGACATATTTAATTTTCCAGTTACATTCATTTTGGATAATTAGGTATTTTTAGAAATACACATCATATAAATAAATACATATCGATATAGATTAATGGACAGCTGTATCCAGGTGAACAACGTTCCAGTTGATTTTTTCGATTATACATGTATTAGGTATGCATTTGATTATATCAATTGTATGATTTTAAACTATTTAGCAATTAGTATTATCCTTGTTTATGCACTTTTCTAAATCAAAAGTTGTATAGGAAAATCTGCTTCATTAGTAATTACGACAGTTTTTAAATATGCATTTGTATTGATTTTTGTGCTTTGAAAGTAATTAAATATGAAAATGCAATATACTTTAATTTTTCAAAGAAAACTTCTCTTTAAAAAAGGTATTGAGAATTGCAGCTCCAAGAATTCTTGAAAATTATCCCAAAAATTGTTCAAGTATTTTTAAGATATTGTTCATTTGAAGCAAAAAAGGAACGCACAACCTTTATATGACAGTTTTTTTTACAATTTAAATTATTATTTTAATTTTATCCGGACTGTAATCGTCCTTTCAAACTATGAAGATTAATAGAATCATTCATTACTACGAGTGTGGGATAGTGAAATTCCACCGAGGGGACAAGATTCACGGTCTAGGACGAGGCTTTGCCGAGTCCTAGACAGTGAATCTTGGCCCCGAGGTGGAATTTCACTATCCCACACGAGTTTGTAATGAATGATTATTTTTCTCGCATTATTTTATCCAAAATAATGGCACCCATCACCATTGAAAAATTTATATTTTTAATTTAGCATCCAATTAAAAATCTGAATACACCATCAAATAAATCGTACCTAAAAATGGTTTACACCTTATGTGTAAACTCAGAAAATGATTTTCAGTCCACTTAAATCATTCTGAATTAAATAAACTGGATTAAAAAAAAAAACGATAGCGTAACATTTTAGAAGAATCCTTCCGTGACCTACAAATAGTGCCATTTAGAAAGTGAAAATACGACAATCTCTTGAACGAAAATAAGTTTGATTAAATAAATAAAACAACAAAATTTTAAGAATATGTTATTTTTTTTTAGACATTGTTACAAGTATTATATAGAAGAAGGAATGTTTACGTTACCGTTCGCAGCGTAGTAATACACAGTGTAAGACAGAAAAATCTCACACTGCTATCTCACACTGGACAGATCTAACTATCATTGGTGATTATGCGAGAAAAGCTAGTGCTTGTCTTAGATTTGGCCAGTTTAAATGCAGTCATTTATATCGCATTTTACTGTCAAGAAATCAGGATGAATTACATCATCATTTACAATGCCTTTATTCTTGGCATTGAACTATTGACGACCTACCAAAGAGATAAATTTAGTGCAGGTAATTTCGGAAAATAAATTTCTAAACAAAAATATAAATATACTTATTAAATATACCAGTATGTATTGTTCTTGTAACCTCTTGCGTAAGTTCCATAAAATGATATAATGAGTTTTAAAGATAAGTGACTCAATAATACATGTGTACTTTGAAATCTAAATCATGATATACCATAAAATTAATCTGTTTAATTATTGTAAATGTTTCAAATTTTTAAACCTAAAATATTCAGCTCATATTTTTGCTCCACTTTCTCGAAATAAAATATCATTTTGTCTTTCAAATTTCAGCTCAAACACTTTTTATGCGAGTGTCTAGACTTGCCCTTTTACCATTTCTGTTTAATGAAAAAATAAAATGGGGTTGCAAGCGCTTAGCTGATAAAATTTATTATAATTCTTTGCCATGAAAAAGCTTACTTGAAGCGGTTGTGTATTGTACTCCGAGAAACAGGAGACAGACGTTGATGAACCACATTATGACCCGTACAGTTTGTAGAAAGAAAACTGAGTGAGAAAATTCGTGAGAATAGCAGACTTGACACTTAGATAGCGTACAATCTGACGAAAGATTAAACTTTCTAGGTGTAATAAGAGCATTTTAGAGAAAAAAAAAAACATCTTGCTGTGTTGCAAGGTTTTCAAATTTTTCAGACACACGTTATCTTTGAGAACTCAGATCAGCAAATTCTTATTTTTTTAAAAAATCCTTTTATGGAATTGTTTTAAATCCAGTGCTTAAGTACTTGTTAATGTACAAACTTAATGCTCTTTAAACAATTCTTTGTGTATCGTTTTTGTCTCTAAACCTGGAAGAATAGGGTTTACTTTCGTTGAAAGTATCCAATACCTAGAAAAAAAAAAATTTTGAATCGTTAAATGTTACCCTATTTACTAGTACTTTACAGAGCAACGGTAATGTAGAAAATTTTTGGAAAGTTAAAGTTAGGGCAAATGATTTCAATAACTTCAGAATGATATCTTATATTCCAATTCCATAGAATTTCTTTTTAGTGTAAAGTATTTAAATGGTGTCACTCCATTATTATCCTCCTTGGACAAAGTAACCAACTATGCTATATATACAGGAATGGAAGAAGTTCAATCTGATTAAAATCAGATCTTTGTTACGCTCCGAAATTCTGATGGTCGCTTTGTACAGCGACCATCAGAATTTCGGAGCGTAACAAAGATCTGATTTTAAGCAGATTGGGAAGAAGTTAAAAGTGGAATATAGCCTTATTCTATGCAGCAAATCTGTCAAAACTGCAGTGATTTTATTTTTCACTTTCTTTGAAATCTATAACTTTTTCTTTCCTGGGATCTTGCTACCCATCCATAAAGGCTAGAATAATAAAGTAACAGTTTGTCTTTCAAAAGAAATTCACTGCTCATCGTTTTGTGATCAAAGTATGTATACAATTAACAGTCAAATGATCGATAACATAAAACCATATATGTACAGTTATTGAAAACCAAATTTGAAAATTCGTTTGTAAGCACCTATTGATTATCACAAAAGACATGCTATATATATATATATATATATATATAATATATATATATATATATATATATATATATATATATATATATATATATATATATATATATATATATATATATATTGAAATATAAATATAAATCCACAGTGCTCGGTAAATTATAGGTACAATTTTAAAAAATGAAACACGAAAACCTTTAGTAAAGCTTTAGCGCTTTCATTTTCAATCTTCAGAAGCCTTACATTAGGTAACATAGCAACATAACGTCATAATAAGCGGAACACAAATTCTATAGTGACGTCATAGTTAAACAATGCGGGAAATTTGTAGAATGAAAACAATATGTACAATTGTGATTACGATTACGATAAATTGTTAAGTTTAGGTTTGAAAGTTTTTTTCAAACCTAAACTTAACAATTTATCGTAATTTCATTTTTTAAAATTGTACCTCTATATTAAAGAAATAAGGGCTTTATGGTAAATTTGATCTCGTACCAACCCGTATTTATGGCCCGATAGATGTTTTAAAATGATACCTTATTACTTATAATTACATTTGTGACTTATTCATATTTTATATTTGCCTGATTACAATCTTTAACGCGTGAAACGTTTTATTTTTCAAACCCAACGGCACGTGTTTGATCCACTGATTGCGCGTCGACCCTTTATGACGTCACTGAGAAATTACGTCGAACGTTTATGACGCGAGGAACCCGTGTTTATACGGGTATAGATACGCGTTGCTTTTAATAGTGTTATATAAAAGAAAACATTTGCAAATGTAAATATATATATATATATATATATATATATATATATATATATATATATATATATATATATATATATATATATATATATATATATATATATATATTGCTACACATTGCCTTCTCAGATTTAAGGATATTAAAAATATTAAACAACGTCCCTTTTTTTCAAAGAGGTGCAATATTTTCGTAAGAAAACTCATTGTTAAGTACTCTTGCACTTTGTTCAGAAATTTATCTATTTAGGATTAAGTCAGGAGGTACAGAAGTCTATAATTATCAATATCTCTTCCATGGGTATTTACCACATGTCAAGGTAATGTATTTGAAATGTGAAAACATAAATCAAAAGTATAAAGAAAACGTACAAAAAGGGGCATCTTATTCAAATCGGAAATTAGTTCTTTGTTTGAATTTTACTTATGATAGGTGCATTTCTAACTACTGTTAAAGTCGTTAGTTTAAATGATTTTGTAATCATGCATTATTAAACTCAAAATATAAAACGAAACAATGATATTAATCGATCAAATTCACTTTCTAAAAGAGCTGCATTTAGTAGAAACTGATAAAACATTCCAAAACCAACTTCTCGAGAAACAACAAGCGAATGTTTTAGATTTTTTTTCGTTATATACCACAAATAATGAGTATATTTGTCTTGTTTTACACAACAACAAACACATGTTATGATGTCATTTTATACCACGTCAAATAAAAGTTTATAGTTAAGAGATCAAGGATGAGCCGCTTTTTGTTGGTTAATCCAGGATAGGAAGGAACTGACACGTGTATACACTCCAGGGGCGTTCCTATCGCCACACCCGTATCCCCAGGACACGATTCCCGCCAACTTCCAAACTCCATCCTTCTTACACACTAAAGGACCGCCACTGTCTCCCTGTAAAATGTTAAATGACACATTTATTTGCTAGAATTATCTGTGTATGTAATCATAAAGTGATTTTTATATATGTTTTTGTCCTTCATTATTACTGTTACATTTCCAGATGCATCAATTTCTTCCAGGTTGATTCAAAGATTGTGTATCAGATGTTTCAGACATCCTTTTTTATATGCAAGAGAAATAAATAAATTCGCATAACTGCATAGTTATTTCGTTCTGCCAGAGAAACGGATAAATGCATTGAAAAAGCTAAGTTTATCATAATAAATTTTCCAATATGAATGCTACTTTTTTATACTGAAGATTAGAAAAATATTTCCACGATAATATTTCAAAGTTGCATCATAATTAAGAAGAATTGATTCCTAAATAAACAGGCACCCTTTTTAAAAGCAAAGCATCCACGAACAAAAACAATGCGAGAAAAACTGTGGAATCTTTCAAACGACTCAAAGATGAAACATATTAAATTAAAAGCAAGGGAAAAAAGACACCACATAGACATGTCAAGCTTTCAAATCTTACAAGATACATGTACCTGTCACAAATTTTTAAAACAAGGAAGAATTTGCAATACCACTGAAATGAAATTCTCATACGACCAAGACCAATTTGCATGACAACCACGTGATCTTACAAACCTGACAGGCATCTTTTCCGCCTGCCCTCAGACCTGCGCAGATATTACTGATGTGCACGTGAGATCTACCCAAGAAGTATTGGCACTGGGAATTTGTCATTGTCGGTACATCAACCTTTCTTAAGTACTGAGCGCCCGGGGCATGACCGTTGTTATCTGAATATCAAATGTAACTTTGTTTATTGACGATCGATTTGAACACTCCCTGACCTTTAAGTCTACTGTTTTTCTTGCAAGCAAAGAATGAAATAGCAAGTGAGCATGGTTATTATTAGGATTCACCATGGTTTGACAAAATTGAGCTACACAATTAAGTTATATGTAACATAATTACGCCCATCACTTAAACAGTATCACCTAGTCTCTAAAAAATTTGCATTCAAAATAAAGAAGCTAAAAAGGACAATAAATTATTATACAATGACACACTTGTAGAGTATGGCATAATACTGCAATTGTGAGGCAGAGCCCGCTGGAAACATCAGGTACAACTGTACAACCCCTTGCTTAACAAAACTGAACTTATATGAAACAGGAATATACTGCAACACTGCATGAAAATACCGTCAGCCCTCATACCAACCAGTGCTCAAACATGTCCCTTGTTCAGAGATTTTGCTAACTGAAAGCAGTATACAGAAGCGACTGAAATTATAGAACTTACTGGACAATATCCTCAAATTATTTTTACTTTTCCTTAAGTCTAAATAAAAAGAAAAATCAAAAACATATTTTTTAAACATGTATTATAGCAGCAAAATACTAACTTGCACGTGTTAGGATGTGTAAACTACATAAGAAGCACTATTACTGTGCTGTTTCTTCCATCATCTCGGACAAAACCTGCGTAAATTTTATCCGTTCTTCCTGATCACTTCCTAAAACGTCTGCTATAACCTTCTGCATATTTTCGTTAAAACTTCTACTAGTGACTTTGATAAACTAAAATTAAAATACTTACCCATTGTAACTGCAATCTTTACACGATAATCGATATATTTTCTTTGCCAGAGTAAAAGGACTCTGCAGAAAAACATATTTTCGTTACAGTATCTACCATTACCTGACAAGCGTCTTTGCCACCCTGACGTAAACCTGCGCAGATATTACTATTGTGAACAGCATTTCCAAGAAAATATCGGCAGTTAGAGTTGGTCATTGTCGGTACATCCACCTTATGTAGATATCTGGTTCCTGGAGCACCGTTTTTATCTAAGGAGCAAGATGTGGTAAAGGCAAAACAGGAGAAACATTTTGATATTAACGCAACTTGATTAATGGTGTAAACGAGTTTTCCCTGCTATATGTAGAACTGCATACTAAGTATCTTCATTTTAAAATTATGTTGGTGCGTAAGGTATATTCTCAGATATTGCATGTTTAAAATTGTTTGTAGAGATAGTTTTGAAATATTTGTATGCACGTACTCGTATATAATTATGTTCTAATCATCCTGTAAATATGGTGTCCGGATAGGGCCACGATGTCGCGCTAACACACAACACGCTGTCACGCTAACACAAGTTCGCACAACACGCCGTCGCGCTAACACACAACACGCTGTCACGCTAACACAAGTTCACACAACACGCCGTCGCGCTAACACGCTTTCAAGCAACACGCCGTCGCGCTAACACACAACTCGCATTCGCGCTATCACAAAGTTGTGCTGGCGAGTTGTGTGACAGCGCCAGCGTGTT